AAAGATCACCTTCAGCAAGTAAAAAAAGAAAATCTGTGGGACACAAGTGGGGAGACCTGGATCCCTGTTCTACTGCTAACTGGCTGTGTCATCTCAGGTCAGCAGCATCCTATTTTGGAGGCATTAAAGGGACCATGAAATGAATGATTTTTAACATTTCTTTCAGATAAGGAATGAATGAATGAATGAACGAATCAATCAATCAAAGAAGGAAAAGAGGCTGTGTGCTTCCTGAGGGCAGGGCTCATGGAAGAGTTTGCACCCTCTGAACCATGCCTGGCATGAACTGGGCCCTGATGGGTACCCTGAGACACCCCAGTTGTCTGCACCTCATAGAATCTTATGGAAAGACTGCAGAATCTGGGTCTGAAAGAGGCCTGAATCTTGGGCAGCTGCTTCTTCCGGGTCTGGAAAGGTGGAGGAAGAAAAGAGAAGAAAGAAAATGGCCATCTGGAGAAGCACAGAAAGCCTCAAGGAGATGCTTGCCCTGTATTCCCCTCAAACGCCTTTTCTCACCCTCACCAGGGAAGAGCGGCTGACACATCACTTGTTGACAGCCTCATTTCCTTGGAATAATTGGTTTATAAGCTACAGCATGTGATTTTTTTTTAAGCCAGGGACTTCCCTTCCATTCTCTTCTCCATTCTCAAGGGAATAGAGACTTATTTATTTCTTGTGGTTCCTTGGTGTTTTGTAGAGATCAGCTGCTCTTGTGACTAGTAGGAACGATGGAGCAGTGGTGTATTCTTTAGAACAGGAAATCAGTTTTTAGGTTAAGCATGACCTTGAACTCTGGGCAAAATGGAGCCCCCACACAGCGGAAGGAATGAGCTTCCTGGGAAGAAGATGCAGCAGTGACATGCTGGTGCCAGCTCACAAGAGATGACTGTGTGCATTTCTGCATTCGGTGACATTGTGTTGGTGCTTGAAATCAGCCATGGTGGGAATATTTACACCATGGGAAACTGGCAAATGTTGCCAACAAGGGCTTTTTCTCCCTGCTCTGCCTGCATAGAGCCAGTTATTTACTATTTACAGCATATCACTGGGCCAGTGATAGAAACTTCTAGCTCCCTACAAAGGCTGATGGTGTCATCAGTCACTACCTTTTACACTATCTTTTTCTCCTTCTCATCCTACACAGTAGGCAGTAGCTGCGCTGGTAAAAGTTAGCCGATCCACACTGTAGTCCTGTCTTTATTGCTACCCAGAGGCATGACCTTGATATTACATGTAGACTCTCAGCCTCAGTTTTCTCCTCTGTAAAGTACAAGGACTGGACCAGTGATCATCAAGCTTCCTTTCGGCTGCAAGTCCTTGATTTCATGACTTTGGCTTTTCTCCAGAAGCTTGTAAAACTACAGATTCTGAGCACAGTTGTAAGTATTGAGAAATAAGATACCGAAGCACAACCAAAACAAAACCCTGGTAATCGTGGATTTCTCTACATTCTTCTTGACTCTAGAATCTCTAGCTTTGTAAATGAAATGGTTTGTACTGAGGCCAAACCCCTGGGATTTGGCTGGCATTTCTTTCTCTTCTCTATTTCTTTCTCAACACATTGTTAGATATTCCCAACCACCTGATGCTCCTTTACTTTTGCTCCAAATGGTGAGAGCTTGAAGTATGACTTTCCTTAGAGGCGGGGCGGCTAAACAGAGTTTGAACTCAGAAGTCATTTGGAAGGAACTGAATTCAAACTCCTGCTTTATTTTTTGGAGTTACATGGATTTAAGAAATTTGTGTAGACTATTGAGTCTTTTTTTTTCCATCTGAAAAATGGAGATGAGAATTCTTGCTTGGTAGGGTCATTGTAAAAATGAAGTGAGCTACCACCTAAGTGGCCCAGCACAGCCTTTAGTATATGGCTGTTATTCCACCAGTGACAATCCCTTTCCTCACACCTTTTCTGAAGGTAAAGCTCAAATTCTTGACCTGAAAGTTCCATGGTAGCTCAGAGATCATTTAAAGCTAAATTCTGGGATTACAGAATCTCTGGTTGATAATTAGCCCCCTCAAAGACCACCAAAATACCTCTGGATCCCCAGTTCTGGGATGCTTTTGATAAGATAGACCTGTAAGGGGCACTTCCTCTTGCATACCTGCTGTTAAGGCCACACCCAGAAGGTATGACCCAGCAGCTGAGGGGTGGAAGGTGAGGGGCTATTCTCTCTGAGGTTTCTGGTCCCTCTGCTGTTACCTCTCTCCCACTGCCTTTGCTGTCCTTTGGTCGCTAGCCCAGGCTTGTCTCTCTGCACCACCACTGGAGCAGAGCAGGGTGTCGTCTTCCTCTTTCCTCTGGCTCAGAAGCATGCAGGAATCAGCGGTTTCCTCCTGACAAGTCCCACTCTGGATTATGGGAACCTGGCTGGTCTCTGCATGGAGTTAACCCTTGCATCTCCTCTCTGCTTCTCCTGATAGGTTAGGGACATTGATCATAATGTTTCAGTTGGAGATTATCTGGTCCAGCTTCCTCATTTTATAAAAGTAAGATAAGAAAGCAAATAACTGGCTCTTTATTATTATGATTAGAATTAATAATCATAGCTGCCTATTTGTTATATAAATGCTCATTATGTGCAAGGTATTGAACTGTGCATTTTATGGGCATTTTCTCTTTGATCCTCATAATAACCATGAAAAGGGGGTACTATTATTTGTATTTTGAAGATAAAAAAAAATTTTTGGTTCGGCCCGGTTCCTTACTTTGCCCAGGTTCCCTTGGGGCTTAGTTGTTAAAAGTAATTTTTAATCTCATCTGTTGGACTTCAAAGCCTATTGCCTTAACCCTTATCCTAGAGGATCGGCACATTAAGAGAGAAACAGAAGCCTAGCTGGGACCTGGTCTGTATTCTTTCTCCAGAAGTGGGTTTTGGGTGTAACAGCAGGCACCCTCAACTCCAAGTACTCAGAAGACAGTTATGTGCCTCAATTTCAGGTTATTTCCCCAGCTGTAGATGCGGAGGCCAAAGCCCTTTGCACAGGAAACTATTTTTAGCACTTGACATACCCTCCAACTGTTAACTAACATGCCAGGCATGGTGTTATCGTTGTCATATATTTTCTCATCTGATCATCCCATGAGATGGACAACATGCTCCCCATTTCACAGATCAGAATCTAAAGATGTTAAAGTTACTTTTGAAGCAAGAAATAGAACAGATAAGATTTGAACCTTGGTTTTGGTTATAGAAGCCCAAACCCTTGATCACTACATTTTGTCACCCCCCCTTTCTTTATCCCTTTCTCTGACTAGATTATGAGATCTGAGAAAGTGGTGATCATGTTTTTGTTTTTTTTTTCATGTTTGCATTTCCAGTACCTAGAACAGTGCCTGGAACTCAGATGATTTTCAGTACCCTTTTGTTAAATGGACGGAAAGATGGTAGATGAATGAATGATAGAAGGGTATAGAGATGGAGAGAAGGGAGGTTACAGGAAGGGAGGGAAATAGGAGAGATGGATGAATAGATGGATGGACAGATTAAGAGATTAAGGGAAGCAGAAAGGGAAGAGAAATGGAGAGATGGAGGATAGATGAATGAACGGAGAGAGAGGGAAGGGGGAATGGATGGATGCAGGGAAAGGTGGATGGAAGGGATGGTGGATCCCTTTAATGGTAGCATCCTGAGTCTCTGACAAGTGCTTTATTTATTTATTTATTTTTGTCTCTGATTTTCTTGTCTCTGCTGTCTTCATGTTTAAATCTTGAGGACAGCCTTCTCATCCTTTGCACGGACTCCTGATTTTTCTTTTTCAGTTTTCAAGCTATCTTCAAGTTTGATTTCTTTCCTTCTCCTCTGACTCAGCTACCCAATGCTCCCTCACTTGGCCCCCACAGTGGCCTATTGCCTGCATGTACACATGGGGTCTCATTCCCTCTGTCCAGCCTCACCTACTGCTCTCTCTTGCTTAGCTAATCTGGCTGCAGTGGCCTCCTTGCAAACACTCCAGACATGTCCTGAATTCTTTTACTTGCTGCCCCCTCTCTGGAACACTTTCCCCAATACTTGCATGTCTCCCTCTCTTCCCTTGCTCCATGTTTGCTGCAACACCATTCTCAGTGAGTCAATCCTCTCAGCTAATTACTTTCTCCCTCTCCCTTGTTTGATTTTTTCCCCTACAGCAATGATCACCATTTCGCAGACTGCAAATTTATGTGTTACATCTTGTTCTCTAGTAAGTAAGCTTCATGAGGGCAGGGAGCTTGATTGTGCGGCTCACCAAGCACATAAAACAGCACCTGGAATATACTTGGAATTATTTAATGAACTGACAAGTCCCAAGTATCTGGGGTAAGCAAGACCTTGGGTTATGGGTTTGATACTACTTGATAATCTGACCCTAACAATCTTTCTCATTTATAGCCCCTGGAAGTTTGGAAAAGGGGTGTGCAGAGGGACAATGGAAAGCAAAGGCAGAGCCCCATGGTGAACAACGGGGAGCAGAGGGGAGCGGGCACCTCCTTACCGCTTTGGTGCACTGCACATCTTTCCCCAGCAGCCAGTTGAGCTCCAAATTGCCCTCGCCCTGGTAGCAGGACTGCAGGCGCTCCTTGATCTGCAAGTTGATGGCCCGGATGGGGAAGGCACAGAGGGCGGAGTCATCAGGTGGATGGTGATACTGCTTCTGCCCTTTGGAGAAGATGGCGAAGAGCACATCATCCTGGCTGCTGATGTTGAAGGCCTGGGCTAGCGCATCCCCAGGCTTGGCGAGGTAAGCAGCCTGCAAGAGGCGGTATTCCACTCCTGCACGTGTGCAGCCGAAGGGCAGAGACACGTACGAGTGGAACTTGGGGTCATCCTTGCAAAGACGCACGATACGGGAAGTGTAGAAGAGGTCCCCGGCGGAATTGATGGCCACACCCTCGGGGGTTTCGGGCTGGACAGTGAGAAAGTAGACGAAGCCCCCGCTGGCGAAGCCATAGATGTAGAAGATGTCAAAGTGGGAGACCAGGGCCAAGGTGTCAGAAGGGATCTTAATGAGGGAGGAGACGAAATCGCTGTGGAGCTCATAGTCCAGCATGGCCGAGGACTCGGGGTCGCGGGGCAGCTTGCGGCTGGACAGCGTGGGGAAGTAATCCTGCTTGCCGTCCACCGCCGTGCCGATGAAGAGCTTGCCGTCCTCCCCCTCGGAGCGCACGATCACTCCGTACATGGTGCCGGTCTTGTTGACGCTGGACAAGTAGTGCTCCTTCTTGTGGGATGGCTCCACCAAGATGAAGAGGTCGTCGAGACGCAGCAGCTTGCAGACGCCCTGGTAGAGGCTGCCACAGGCCAGCAGGCGGTTCTCGGAGTAGTCAATGATGAGCAGCTTGTTGACGTTGTTGGTGAGGGTGAGCACCTCGCTGCAGGGCTGCACAATCAGGGGCGGGTAGCAAGACTTGTTGTCCTCCTCCGGCCCTGTCTTGTGAGCCACCTGGATGGTCAGGTTGCCCGTTAGCTTGTAGACCCGGTTGATGGCCCCCACATACACCGCCCCTGTCCCGCGGTGCACAGTCAAGTGGTTGAAGGTCCAGTCTCGGTTTTCCGAGTGGAAGGTGCTGAACTGAGGCATGCCGGCTGTTGGGGGGGCCAACAGCACCCAGACCACTGAGAGTAGGACCACAGACCGGCTGTCAATCTGTGGGGCCCATGGCCAGGGCCTCCTCTGTTCCATCCTGAGAGGGACAGGGTGGAGGAGACCACTCCTCCGTGTTCTTCTACTCCACTTTCCTGGCTTGGCCCTCACATGGTTCTGGAAAACACAAGGCAGAGTGAGTGGTCAGACTGACAATAAGTTGCAGGGGAAGTGAATTGGATTGCTTGACCCAGGGTCCCAGCCCTGGCTAGCTCTATGAGTCTCTTCCTTCTGTATGTCAGTTTTTCTATTTTTAACATACTTTTTCCCTCTTAGGGATGTTCAGGGAATCCTATTATCTATTTTGGTCTCCAGCCTTTATGCTGTAAAATACTTTTTTTTTTTTTTAAACTTTACAAAGCATCTCTATTTCTGTCCTCTGAAGACATCGTTTTATCTCTCAGAGAGGTTAAAAGACTGCTTAAGTTCACCCAGTCAGTCAATGCCCATGTCAAGACTGAAGCCAGTTTTCCCCACCCAATTGTCAGGTCTTACCTCAGGCGAGTAGACATCTCTCCTGGTTTTTAAAAGCTTGTTAGGAAGCCCTCCTCCCTCCTGTTCTCCTGAGAGTCTGATATCACAAATAAAATTCCTTCTTATTTCAGACTCCCATTGCCTCACGCTGCTGTGCTTTTTTACTTTTACCCTGAGTGACGATGGTGCCCCTCGGCCTCTTCTCCAGAAAGAAGCACCCCCGATCTTTAGCTGTTAAAACTTGTTAGGAAAGGAAAATATGCTGTACCCAGTAAGACTGGGATTCTCATAAGTGCCATTCAGGAGCCTGAAAAGCCTTCAAGGGAAGGGTAGCCAACTCCTATCCCTTTGACTAGAGAATGTGCAGCCACTGCCTCCTAGGAGCCAGGTGGCCAGATCCTGGGGACACTTTCAACTTCTCAGCAGGTGGAAACACGGGGAGCTGGTCTTGCTAAAGGGTCTGGCTATCTGGGTCCAGTTTCAGTCACCTGGGGTAGGAGCTCTGGGTTGGGAACATGCGAGGAGGAGCAGAGAGAGGCAAGCTGAGATCAGTCTCATCCAGCCACACAGAGGCCTCCCAAGTGCTCAGGCATCCGTGAAATCAGCACTGGGCCCCAGTGGCCATGCCCCAAGCCCTGTCTCCAGCCCTGACTGCTTTACTCCTGTCTGCATTCCAAGGAAGCTGCCCAGAGTGCTGGGTAGGGCTCCAGAGGACAGCCTGTAGAGACAGTCCCCCACCCCAGGCAAGAGGGTGGGAGGGCAGAGAGTGGAGCCAGTGGTGATCATGCTCTTCCTGACTTTCAGGGAGAGGGACAGTAGCTACATGGCAGCAGCACCAGGAGGAGGAAGCAGTGAGCTGTCTGGCAGAGAGATCTTTTCTCCAGCTGGACAGATCACCCGGCAACCTCCTCAGACAAGTCCAGACAGAACTCTGGGCCCAGGAGGAGGCAGGAATGGAAATGGTCAAGCAGGGGATGGAGGATTTGCTCTGAGGCAGCTTAGAAGAGCCCAACCTGTCCCTTCTACTCCGCAATCTGGGTTGTCATTAGAACAGACACCACTTTGAGAATCCCTACCAGTTTTTTCTGTATGTATTTAGAAATTCCTCTTCCTGCTCCTCAACTTTGTATCTGAGACCTGGCAGCCACCATGGTGCCAGGGGAGGTCCCACCTAACTAACTGCTCCCTCTAACTAGACTCCACCGGGGTGTTTTGGGGTGACTCAGGAGGCCTCGTGCTTCCTTGGAAAGAGGAAGGCAGCAGGAGACTCAGGCTGACCTCAGCTACTCCGCCACAGCCCTTCCGGCCCCACGCGCACACACCACACCGGCAAAGGCTCCCAATACACACAGCTTTCGGTTTGAAAACCAGAAGTTATTTTTAGCTATGTCCTGAGGCCGGTAGCAGGACGTGAATTCCTCAAGAGGAGCTGCGGAAAGGAAATAACAGAATCCTCAAATTCTCCAGCTGGACAGGGAATTGCAAGAGATGGTTCTTTGTAAATCTGTCTCCCTGGGTAGGAAAAGTTTCTTTAGCTACAGGTGGAGAGTAGTGCCCCACCAGGAGTGGTGAGAAGGAGGCTAATTGTCAACACACTGTGCCTGGGGTTTTGTATTTAGGAAAGAGCTCTCTGAAACACAATTGCACTGAATTTGTGCAGAGGATAATCCTGCTTTCTTCACAACATACATGCACATAGGTTTTTAGCTTGTGTGTGTGCAGGGGAGGGGTCCTATAGTGGAGCTAATATCAAAAAACATGTGTGAGGTTAAAATCAATCATCTCACCTCCCTTCAGAGTATCCTCTCAAGATAGAGTTTAAATAGTGAGTGGCTTTTGTTGTTAGAATTGGGAACAAGTTTAGGACCTTGGGCAACTTGAGCCCCATCTCCCTTTCTGGTAGAATGGGGATAATTACAGTACCTAGCTCTCTGGACCCCATGAAAGTTAATGTGACAATGTGGAGAGAGCTTAGCATGGCTGCTGATACACAATGAGCACTTCACTCTTATTAGTTGTTATTATTATCATTGAAAGCTCCCAGAGAAACAGCACTTTAGAAATCCTGCCAGAGCGCTCCTTCTCTTTTTGATTATATTTATTCTTCCTTCCCATGGGATGAGCATTATGAATGGATCTTGGCTCCACACCCCTCCCTGACCAGTGACAGAGCTCAATCTGGGAAGCAGGTGGCAGGAAAAGGGAAGAGGCTCAAGACGATCACCTCTGTCATACTACTTGCACCAGTCCCAATATAGCCTCTCCATGGACTTCAGGGGGGCTGGTGGAAGTGCAGGACCCTGTCAGCTGGACTGATAATGGGACACTTGGCCTGATGACTAGAAAGCATGGAGTCACAGGGCAGGAGGAAGACTGGAACCCTGAGTTAATCTGTGCCTGTTGTCATTCATGAATTGGACCAGTGGCTTTTAGACTGATCTACCATCTCCCTGAGCCCTATTTCTTGATCTTAAAACAGAGTATGTTGAATTAGTCAGCCTGTAAGATTTCTTCTTCCAGATGAAATGAGGACTTGAGGCCTGATTCCTTCAGTGCCTGGAGTCTCAGATTCTGGTAGCAGCTACAGTCCTTCTCTCCTACCTGGTGAGGCTCATTAGGTTAGGTGTTCACAACAGATGGCTACAGTCTGCCCCTTTTCCTCTCACCCCCTCTAGCAGCATCTGTTCTGGGACACTCTGGTGCTGGTGACCAGCCAGGGAATGCATCCCACTGGGCCCAGTGACCACCCACTCTGGGACAGCTGTTGCTCAACATAGAATAGCCAAGGGGAGGGATGCTCTTGTGCTGTGGCAGGTGGAGGGGAGGTTTGCAACCCACCTTGTTGAGTATGAGCTTCACAAGGACAGTGATTGCAAGACCAAGAAAGAACCTCCTTATTACCATGCCAGAACTGATGTTATCAAGTGAGTCTTCTAAAACAAGGCTCCAGGGACAAGTGTCAGGCCTCCTGTGTGAGTTCAGAGTAAGTGAAAGGATGCCCACCTTAGTGTGTTTGATGCATGATGGTGTCACAGTTAAGTGCAGGAGCTCTGGATTTAGATGCTGAGATTCAAACAGAGCTATAGCTTTGTAAACGTGGTCAAGGTACTTGGCCATTCTGTGATGTCATCACACTGCTTATCAAAATGGGTTTAGTACCAGCATCTGCCATGCAGGATTATTAGGATGAAATCAATGAACATTTATAAAGAGCTTATAACAGTGCCCAACCCATTTTAAGTGTTCAGGATATACTAGCTTTTATTATTAGCGAGTATGTGTTGATATTTCCAGTTCCTCTCCTCCATCCACCCCATGATCTGTCTTAGAATGAATTTCCATCCTCAGTTTGGTAAAAGCCAGGGAACATATATCATGACCTCATGCACCTAGCATTTCCTCGTAACCCCTATTTTCTGCTAGCACCCGCCTCAGGGTTTTCTTTTTAATAACAATGCCCTCTTCTATCACATCTTCTCTCTCTGTTTAGCTTATGAAGTCACTTGTCACATGCATTCTCAAGAGCTGAAACTGGCCTAGCTTCTGTTTTTCTATCAACTTCCCTCTCCCCCACGGCCATTCTCAAACCAGGACATGCTGCTTTGGGACTCTCACCTTATCTGCAGAGCCTCCCATTACATCTTAGAGTGCTCCCCATGCCAAGGAGAGGGCAGGTTTGCCTCTTTGGGAAGCAAAAGCCATTAAATATTTTATTGGGAGGGCCTGATGACACCATCTCCCTCTCAGGATCCAGGAGGCAGGTGTTGGTGACAGCCAGTGAAGCCATCTGATCCCTTCCTGATCAGCTGCTGCAGGCATCAGGGGCAAAGCACGGGGGAAATGACAATCAGCCATTTGCAGTTCAGCTCAGTAGAAGGTTCTCTCTGCCACCTGTTCTGAAGCTTTTCAGAAGGTCTAGGTGTCGGTGCTCCACGTTTTACTCATTGGGAATGGAGCTGGGGGCAGAATAGGGCTCAGAGTTGGATACAGTTCTGCCAGATTGAGCTACAAGTTCACATTAGTAGATCTCACACCTTGGGCCCCACCTGTAGACCCACCATCACCACTCCCTCCATTGCCATCACCGCTGTCACCACCATCATCTTCTCCAGCACCATCCTATTGCTGAGGGTTTTTAAAATGGTAGCAGTAAAGGTGCCGATTACTATTAATGCACTTATGGGTGGGGCCCAAAGCCAGGATCCTGAGGAGCCAGATGGAGATGGGGAAAACTCAGCATGAAAATGAGGACTGAGAGATCAGAGAAGACTTGGAAGCTGCTCCTGGAACCCACCGGACCTCCTGCTTCTCTGTGGCACAGGGAAGTCCATCGTCTTCCCGGGCTCACCTTTCTAACTAGCTGTGCCTCTGAGCAGGACTTTGGAGGTGGGTGCTGGATGGTTAGGAGATTACTCCAACTCACCACTTTTATTTTTTCAGATGAGGAAATCAAAGTCTGTAGA